CGAGAAATCCTCAAGAAGGCCCTCATGCCTGAAAAAAGAAAAAAAGGGAGAAAGGGGTCACAAAACCCAGAGTAAGGAGACAAATAGATAGAATCAAAACAGGATAACAAATATTCAATTATAGCATTAGGGTTAAGGGAAGGAAAAGACCAAAAACAAGACAATCTTGTCACTTTAACCGCAAACTCACAACACAAGTTGGAATAAGATACTAAAATAATTTTGGAGGGGAGGAGCAGAGGGACTGAATCAGTTTAGACTAAGGAAATAAGAGGTCATCAGAAAATGGACTATGTTATGCACGAGATTCTGAATGCAAACTTCAGGTTAGTCAGTAAACTAAAAAGCAAAACAGACACACAAAAAATAAATAAAGAAAAAACTAAGAAACGCAGCACAAGAAACTGCAGAAATCAATGGGTAGACCCAAACACACAGGACGAGAAACAGGAGATTCAGGAAAACCAGAAAGCGAGTGACAGAATGACAGCGTTAAGCCCTCATACATCAATAATCACCCTCAATGTAAACCTATTGAGCTCTTCAATAAAAAGACACAGAGTGGCAAGATGGATTAAAGAATAAGATCCAACAATTTGTTGCCTCCAGGAAATACATCTCAGCTCCAATGGCCACTACAGGCTCAGAGTGAAGGGGTGGAAGACGATACTCCAAGCTAATGGCAAACAAAAGAAAGCAGGTGTCACAATACTTATATCAGACAAAGGCAGGTGACAAGAGACAAGGAGGGGCAATATATAATGATCAAAGGGACACTCCATCAAGAAGAAATAATGCTTATAAATATCTATGCACCCAACACAGGAGCACCAAAGTTCATAAAGCAACTATTAACAAACCTAAAAGAAGATATCAAAAATGACACAATAATAGTAGGGGACCACAACACCCCACTCATATCATTGGACAGATCATCTAGGTAGGAATTTAACAAGGAAAAAGTGGAATTAAATGAAAAGTTAAAACAGTTGGACTTAATAGACATATATGGAACACTCCATCCAAAAACAGGAGAACACGCATTCTTTTCAAGTATGCATGGAACATTCTCAAGGATAGACCATATGTTGGGAAACAAGGCAAGCCTCTATAACTTTAAAAAAATTGAAATAATAACAAGAATCTTCTCCGATCATAATGCTCTAAAGCTAGAAATTAATTGCAAGAAAAAAGCTGAGAAAGAGACAAAGATGTGGAGACTAAACAATAAGCTATTGAACAAGCAATGGATCATTGAAGAAATTAAAGAAGAAATCAAAAAATATCTGGAGACAAATGGAAATGATAACTCATATGAGATGCAGCAAAAGTTGTATTAAGAGGGAAATTCATAACAATACAGGCACACCTTGACAAACAAGAAAAAATCCAAATAAGCAATCTCAAATTGCACCTCACTGAATTAGAAAAAGAAGAACAAACAAAGCCCAAAGTCAGCAGAAGGAGAGAAATAATAAAAATCAGAGCAGAAATAAATGCTATTGAAACAAAAAAGGCAGTAGAAATGATCAATGAAACAAAGAACTGGTTCTTTGAGAAGATAAATAAAATTGACAACCCCCAGCCAGACTAACAAAGAAAAAAAGAGAGAAAGCTCAAATAAACAAAATCAGAAATGAAAGGGGAGAAATAACAACAGACTCTGCCTGTCACACAATTAGCATTCCTTTTTTGGGGTAAGAACATTTAAGATCTACTCTCTTAGCAACATGCAAGTATATAATACAGTATTATTAGCTATAATCACCACACTGTACATTGCATTCTCACAACTTGTTAATCTTAGAACTCCAAATTTGTACCTTTTGACCAATGTCTCTCCATTCCCCCCCACCCCCTGCAACCCCTAGTAACCACCACTCTACTGTCTGTTTCTCTGAGTTTGCCTTTTCAGATTTCACATATAAGTAGTATCACACAGTATTTATCTTTCTCTGTTTGATTTATCTAACTTAGCATAGTGCCCTCAAGGTCCATCCATGTTGTCTCAAATAGCTGGATTTCCTTCTATCTCATGGCTGGATAATATATATATACACACACCCCACATCTTCTTTATCCATTCATCCGTTGATGGACACTTATGTTGTTTCCACATCTTGGCTATTGTGAATAATGCTGCAATGAACATGAGAGTACAGATATTTCTATGAGATCCTAACCTCAATTCCTTTGGATATATACCCAGAAGTGAGATTTCTGGATCATATGGTAGTTCTATTTTTAATTTCCTCTATTTATTTATTTATTTTTTATTGAGTCCATAATAGTTTACATCAATGTGAGATTTCAGTTGCACATTATTTCGTGACTGTCACCACATAAGTGCTCCCATTCACCCCCACTGCTCCCCCACCCCCCTTCCCCTGGTAACCACTGAACTGTTTTCTTTGTCTCAGTACTTGTTTATATTCCACATATGAGTGAAATCATCTGGTGTTTTTCTTTCTCAGACTGGCTTATTTCACTTAGCATAATTCCCTCTAGGTCCTTCCATGTTATGGCAAATGGGATGAATTTGTCTTTTTTATGGCTGAGTAGTATTCCATTGTATATATGTACCACATCTTCTTTATCCAATCATTGGTCGATGGGCACTTTGGTTGCTTCCATGCCTTGGCTATTGTGAGTAGTGTTGCAATGAACATAGGGGTGCATATGTTACTTTGGATTGTTGATTTCAAATTGTTTGGGTAGATACCCAGTAGTGGGATAGCTGGGCCATATGGTATTTCTATTTTTAGTTTTTAAAGGAAGCTCCACTCTGTTTTCCATAGTGGTTCTAGCAGTTTGCATTCCCACCAGCAGTGTGTGAGGGTTCCCTTCTCTCCACACCCTCTCCAACATTTCTTATTTTTAGTCTTAGTGATTATAGCCATTTTAACAGGCATAAGGTGGTATCTTAGTGTAGTTTTGATTTACATTTCCCTGATGATTAGTGATGTTGAAAATCCTTTCATGTGTTTATTGGCTGTCTGTATATTTTCTTTGGAAAAATGTCTGTTCATCTCCTCTGTCAACTTTTTGATCGGGTTGTTTGCTTTTTTACTGTTCATTTGTGTGAGTTCCTTATATATTATGGAGATTAACCCCTTGTCAGATATATGATTTGCAAATATTTTCTCCCAATTTTTGGGTTGTCTATCTGTTTTGACTCTAGTTTCTTTCGTGTTGCTAAAGCTCTTTATTCTGATGAATTCCCGCTTGTTTATTTTTTCTTTTGTTTTCCTTGTCTGAGAGGACATGGTGTTTGAAAAGATCCTTTTTAGTTCAATGTCAAAGAGAGTACTACCAATATTATCTTCCAGGAGTTTTATAGTTTCAGGATGTATCTTCAAGTGTCTTCAAGTCTTTGATCCATTTTTTTAGTTTTGATTCCCTTTTTTATTCCTAAAATTATTTTATTTTTGTTCTCTCTTTTTTCTTGACAAATGATGACAAACTTTGTTGATTTTATTCTTTTAAAATATTAGTTTTGTCTTTATTAATCCTTTCTTCTTTTTTATGTGTCAATAAATTTTTTTCTCTTTCTTTTTCTTTTTTTTTTTTGAGGAAGATTAGCCCTGAGCTAACTACTGCCAGTCCTCCTCTTTTTTCTGAGGAAGCCTGGCCCTGAGCCAACATCCGTGCCCATCTTCCTCTACTTTATATGTGTGACGCCTACCACAGCATGGCATGCCAAGCGGTACCATGTGTGCACCCGGGATCCGAACTGGCGAACCCTGGGCCGCCAGCAGCAGAACGTGTGCACTTAACCACTGCACCACCGGGCTGACCCCTGTGTCAATAAATTTGTAATCTTATTTCCTTCTTTCACTTTCTTTTAAACATGTTCTTCTTTTAACTTTTTTCCTATGGTTCTTTCTTAAACTTCTTTAGCTCAGTTCCATGCTTACCTCACTAAGTATCATCTTAATTTCTTTTCTAATATAAGTAGCTAATGATAAACATTTCTCTCTAATCACAATTTTGATGCATTCCATACATTTTTACGAATATTTTTAACATTATTTAAATTTAAGCATTTAACATTTTTTTCATTAATTTTTTTTACCCTTCAATTAATTAGAAGGGCTCGTATTAACTTCCAGAGGTGAGATATATTGTTGTTATTGTCTTATTTATATTCCATTGTTGATTAAGTAGTCAGAGAAGATGGTTTCTAAGACACTGAGCCTTTGAATTTTGTCTACTTATTTTTTTACTTAGCATGAGGTTAGTTTTTATAAGTTTTTCTTATATGCTTGAATAGACTGTGTATTCTGAAATTAATGGGTATAAGGCAATCAGAGAAAGATTCCTAATTAAGAAACTTGTGGTTCAAATTTTCTCTAACCTTCCTAATTTTTGACACCTGTATCATGAAAAATATGAAGAAAATAGGCATTTGACAGTGGAGTATTATTTCTCTGTCCCATCGAAGCCTTGAGGAAGATTCATTGTGATAATTTTCTACATAGCACTGTTGCTGAAGAAAAGGTCTCCACTGCTGGATTTTATCTTCCACTGGACATTAAATTTCTTTCAACGGATCATTTTTGAGCACATACAAAGTGTTAGGTCCCAGTCCAAATTGATAATGACTTTTGAGTTAATGAATAATTTTTAGTGTGTCTCAAGACCTTAATTGATTGTCTCAAGATTTCCTCTATACTTGCTTTAATTTTTGTAGAATTTAAAAAGTAAATAAAAGAAGGAGGAAGAGAAGGTAAAGGAATGGTTGAACTAAGTCCTTAGAGTAGTTGATAGTTGGGGCATGTGCCAGACTGAAGTGAGGCCTTGAGACAGGTGTGTGTGTGTGTGTGTGTGTGTGTGTGTGGTGTGTACTTTTGACCTTTGCCTTAGTGTCCTAGACATACACTTTTCTAAAGGGTGTGGCTGGAACAAGTAGGCTAACACTGAAACTGTGGTAAGTTATTCAGCCTTCCTGTTTTCTCAGCCTCTCTGGGAAATGAAACCTAAATCAGGATGATCCAGTGAGTGCAGGGAGGGTGCTGCCAGTGATTCAGCTGGAGCAATAGCATAGCTCTGTCTGCCTTTCTAGAGTTTCTCAGGACACCTCTGAGGACTCACTCCAACCATCTTGTGACTGCTGCTGGCTATTGGACTGTGACAAGGAAACTACAGACCACAGGTAGAAGGGGGTTTGGTGCCTTGTGTATAGATGAAGTGGTGAGACAAAATGAGTGCATATGATTAGGGAGATTTTAGGAAGAAGAACTGACTTCTAAGGGCCAAATTAAACTTGAAGATTAGACTTGGGGCAGGGTAGTGGTGCTGATTTCAGTCCCAAAACAAAACAATTTATTTGTAAATAAATTAACTCCAAGATCCATTTGAAATTGTTAAAATGGCCCCTCTAGATTGAATTCATAACTTTTAAAAATGCTCAGACTTCCTGGTACCAGCTTGATTATTTAAAAAAATGTGATACACAATTGCATTAACCTTATAGCTTAATGTAACTGACAAGGCAAACATAGAAAGGACACGAGTATATATTAGATACATTTTTTTAAGTGAATATTTCTAACTGATTTGGCAAGTCGAGGGTTGGGCAATGAGGAGCTTGACAGGATTGATTGAGAAACAATGGTGTTAATAAGTGAGAAATCTACCTTAAACTGTGGTTCATAAACTTGGATTTGAAAACACTGTTAACAGAGTTAGCTTGAGCATATTTCTAGGTTTAATAGTTGGAAATTGTATTTTACTTTAGGATAGGTGGTGACTCAACTAAATAGGAGTCCTCTGAATAATTAAGGCTATGTTTCTGCAATATTTCAATAACTTTGGAAATCAAAGGTAGTCCGTTCTTGTCTCTGTCCTTATTTCTGACATCTACTTTTGAGCCTCACTGGAGTAGCCACTTACCTTTTGATGACCACGGTAGTGTTGTTGGTCTATGGGGGCCTTGTTCAGACAAACTCAGTTATTCAATCTGTTAGCTGCAGGGCCTTGTACAAGCTATGAAACCTCTCTGATTCTGAGACTACTCATCTGTAAAATTAGAGCTCATAAGTCCAACAATATGGAATTATTCAGAGGGCTATCGGAGAACGTGTAGACAATACTTTTCAAAAAACCCCATACTTTCATATTTAAAAAATTCTGATACATTATGTGTTAAAATGCAAAATTTATATGCATTTTTGCTAAAAAAAAGTGAAACATGAGACATCAATGAGATTGTATGCTTGCCAGGGTTGCTGTTACATCTTTGCCTAGATCCTTTGTTGTTGGAGTATTTCAGAGAAAACATTTGAGGAAAAATGATATTTGTGCTAATCATTAAGACAAGCATGATTGCCTAGGGTAAGCTTCCAGTTATTTCTTGATACAATTGACCAATGGGCTTAATCAAATAAGATTTATACATATTCTCTCTGTAGACTAGGGAAGATACTGATTTTCTTTAAGAGGCATACCCTGAGCAAACTTGGTGAGGTACTCTATATGAACTCTGCCTTTTCGGACCTGCTGTTTGCCTTTGACATGCTGTTCTGTGTTTTCTTTTGCTTTTGTGGGAAAGATTGGCCCTGAGCTAACATCTCTTGCCAATTCTTCCTCTTTTTACTTGAAGAAGATTGTTGCTGAGCTAACAACTGCTAATCTTCCTCTATTTTATGTGGGATGCCACCACAGCATGGCTTGACAAGTGGTGCTGGGTCCATGCCCAGGATCTGAACCTGAGAACCCTGGGCCGCCAAAGCGGACCCTGCAAACTTAATCACTAGGTCACCAGGCTGGCCCCCTTTTCTGTCTTTTTCTTAATTGCAGTACAGTGACATAGAATATTATATTGGTTTCAGATGTACAACATCATGATTCAACATTTGTATACATTGCACAATGATCACCACAGTAAGGCTACTTACTCTCCATCGTCATAAAAAGTTAATACAATATTATCAACTGTAGTCTCCATGTTGTACATTATATTCTAATGACTTATTTACTTTATAACTGGAAGCTTTTACCTCTTGATCCCCTTCACCAGTTTTGCTCACTCCACAACTCTCCTATTCTCTAGCAACCACCCCTCTGTTCTCTGTATCTATCAGTCTGGTTTTGTTTTCTTTGTTGGTTTGTTTCATTTTTTAGATTCCACAAACAACTGAAATCATACAGTATTTCTCTTTCTCAGTCTGGCTTATTTCACTGAGGGTAATACCCTCAAGATCCATCAAAGTTGTTGCCAATGACAAGATTTCATTCTTTTTTTCTTTTTTTGAGGAAGATTAGCCCTGAGCTAACATCTGCCGCTAATCCTCCTCTTTTTGCTGAGGAAGACTGGCCCTGAGCTAACATCTATGTCTATGTTCCTCTACTTTATATGTGGGACACCTACCATAGCATGGCTTGCCAAGCGGTGCCAAGTCTGCACCCAGGATCCAAACTGGTGAACTCTGGGCTGCCGAAGCGGAATGTGAGCACCCAACCGCTGCACCACTGGGCCAGCCCCAAGATTTCATTCTTTTTCATGGCTGAGTACTATTCCAAGTACCACATCTTATTTATACATTCATCTTATACCATTTTGAGTATGGTGTAAGATAGTGGTCCAGTTTCATTTTTGTACATGTGGCTGTCCAGTTTTCCCAACACCATTTATTAGGGAGAATGTCCTTTCCCCATTGTATATTCTTGCCTCCTTTGTCATACATTAATTGACCTTATACGCATGGGTTTATTTCTGGGCTCTCTATCTGGTTCCATTGATCTATGTGTCTGTTTCTATGCCCAATACCGTACTGTTTTTATTACTATAGTTTTGTAATATAGTTTGAAATCAGGGTGCCTGATGCCTCCAGCTTTGTTCTTTCTCAAGATTGCTTTGGCTATTTGGGATCTTTTGTAGTTCCAAACAAATTTTAGGATTATTTTTCTATTTCTGTGAAGAATGCCATTGAATTTTTATAGAGATTGCATTGAAGCAAAGATTGCTTTGGGTAATATGGACATTTTAACAATATTAATTCTTCAAATCCATGAGCATGGAATATCTCTTCATTTATTTGTGTCTTTTTCAATTTCTTTCATCAATGTATTATAGTTTTCAGTGTGTACAGGTCCTTCACCTCACTTGTTAAATTTGTTTCTAGGTATTTTATTCATTTTGATGCAGTTGTAAACAGAATTGTTTTCTTATTTTCTCTTTTTGATAGTTTGTTGTTGGTGTATAAAAATGCAACTGATTTTTGTATATTGAGTTTGGACTCTGCAACATTACCGAATTTGTTTATTAGTTCTAAATTCTTTTGGTGAAGTCTTTTGGGTTTCTATATATAAAAATATGTCATCCAGAAATAGTGATAGTTTTACTTCTTTTTTTCCAATTTGGCTGCATTTTATTTCTCTTTCCTGCCTAATTGCTCTAGCTAGGACTTCCAATACTATGTTGAATAGAAGCAGCAGGAGTGGGTATCCTTGTCTTGTTCCTGATGTGAAGGGAAAAGCTTTCAGCTTTTTGCCACTGACTACGTTAGCTGTAGGCTTGTCATATACGTCCTTGGTTATGTTGAAGTATGTTACGTTTATACCCACTTTGTTGAGTTTTTATCGTAAGTGGATGTTGAATTTTGTTGAATGCTTTTACTGCATCTGTTATTATATGATTATATCCTTCGTTTTGTTAATGTGTTACACTGTGTTGATTAATTTGCAGATGTTGAACCATCCTTGCATCCCTGGGATAAATTCCACTTGATCATGATGTATGATCCTTTTAATGTATTGTTGAATTCAGTTTGCTAATATTTTGTTGAGGATTTTTGCATCTATCTTTATCAGGGATATTAGCCTGTAATTTTATTTTCTTATGGCATCCTTCTCTGATTTTGGCATCAGAGTGATGCTGGCTTTGTAAAATGAGTTTGGGAGTATTCTCTCCTCTTCAATTTTTTGGAAGAGTTTGAGAAGGATAGATATTAAATCTTCTTGAATGTTTGGTAGAATTCACTAGTGAAGATATCTGGTGCTGCACTTTTGTTTGTTGGAAGTTTTTTTAATTTCTGATTCAATCATTTTACTAGTAATTCATCTATTCAGATTTTCTATTTCTTCATGATTCAGTCTTGGAGGATTGTATGTTTCTAGGAATTTGTCCACTTCTTTGAGGTTGTCCAATTTGCTGGAGTATAATTGTTCATAGTAGTCTCTTCTTATCCCTTTTATTTCTTTGGTATCAGTTGTAACTTTTTCACTTTTATTTCTGATTTTCTGTATTTGAGCCCTCTTTTTTTCATATTGTCTTTTTTTTCCTCAATGAATTTCTTAGTGAGTCTATCTAAAGTTTCATCAATTTTGTTTATTGTTTCAAGGAACCAGATCTTACCTTCATTAATCTTTTCTATTGCCTTTTTAGTCCCTATTTCATTTATTTCCACTCTGACTTTTTTTCTTTCCTTCTGATAACTTTGGGCTTTGTTTGTTCTTCTTTGTGTAGTTTCTTTAGGTATAAAATTAGATTGTTTATTTGAGATTTTTTCTTCTTTCTCGACTTGGGCTTGTATTGCTGTAAGTTTTTCTCTTAGGAACGCTTTTGCTACATGCCATGGATTTTGGTACATTGTATTTTCATTTTTGTTTGTCTCAAGGTATTTTTTGATTACTCCTTTGATTTCTTGATTTACTCATTAGTTGTTCAGTAGTGTGTTGTTTAATCTCCACACATATTTGTGTTTTTCCAGTTTTCTTCTTGTAATTGATTTCTAGTTTCATATCATTGTAGTTGGAAAAAATGCTTTGTATGATTTCAGACTTAAATTTATTGAGACTTATTTTGTGGCCTAAATGATCTATCCTGGAGAATGTTCTATGTGCAATTGAGAAGAATTTGTATTCTGTTGCTTTTGGAAGGAATGTTCTGTATATATCTATTAAGTCCATGTGGTCTAATGTATTTGAGGCCAATGTTTCCTTATTGATTTTCTGTCTGGATGATCTATCCATTGATGTAGGTGAGGTATTAAAGTCCTCTAGTATTATTATATTGCTGTCAATTTCTCCCTTTAGGTGTTAACATATTGAGGTGCTTCTATGTTGGGTGCATGAATATTTACAAACATTGTATATTCTTGTTGGATTGATCCTTTTATCAATACGTAATGCCCATCTTTATCTTTTTTACAA